AGCTGAATAGAGATGGGGACTGCAAAGTGCGCGCTGTTTCGAGCGATTGCAAGGGGGTCTTCGAGACGCCATTGTCGACTGGAATTTGATCAAATATATGATGATGACTTTGCGACTGCTTGAGGACGAGGCTCATTAGACTGAGCGCCGATAATTATAGGCACAAAACGTCTCGGAGGCGTCTGAATGACCCTCATTTGCACTGGGAGGCCTCAATGACCCACGAGAGCTATCCGCAATGGTAAACAAAAAAATACCTCAGCATTCGACGTTCAGAGCAGTGACTGCGGCATCGTTTTTTTGTACCTATGACTGTCACTCTGTTGGACGACGAAGATTTGTTCATCTTGGGGGATAAATTGTTCGCCATGAGCAGAGCTGAATCACGATTCCCTTCAGACCGGACATGTGACGTGACCCTAATGGCGACACGATAAACTTGCGCTCATGTGGATTCTGTATGACTTGTTGGACTGGTGGTAAGCTTCAAGCTCGAGGCAGCAAATCAATTGCGTAAAGACGTACCAAGCATACCTTGTACGGGTTTGAATCAATCCCGAGATACAATTGGGGAACTACGTTGGAGTGAGATTTGCATTCAAAATGTCGTTCATCATTTATCGTTGGCGCTTTGGCCTGGTATTGGGTCCGATTACCTTTAACTCAAGGCTCTACGTCTTCTTTTTTTTCATTTGAAGTTGTTACAACACTGTAGTTTCCGATGTGAGGTGAGAATAGCAAAGGTGAACCCATTGCGGAATATTTATATCTCATGTCATTTTCTTTTTGGTCTTTCAGTCTTCATATCAAGAACACACAATGCTGAGGTTTGCTCTTCCCTTGTTGCTATTAAGCTGCACGACCACTAGAGTGTCCGCCTCGGCAGCTTTCGAGACTCTTTTCGGCCAGGCTGACTTTCACTACTTTGTGGACCTAGACAACGTGTTTTCGCCCTTAGAATACCTCGCAACCTTCGATCTCGGCAGTGACGGAACCTTTGAGATAATGGTCGACCTCAGATTCCCAATGACTACGCTAGAGGACGGCGATGATCGAGTGATGCTGCACTTATTGGCTTGTGACGAAGCAGCGAGAGGTTTCCTTAATCTTCCATCGGACGCCAGTGCCAGTAGTAGCAATGACTCATTCGCTCCTTCGTTCTGTGCCATGGCGAATCGCACACTCGACTTCTATTGCCAGTCTTCCCATTGGAGAACAAATCTCCTGACAGCCTCGTGTACCAGTCCAAGAAGACAGTCGCTGGATTGGGCAATACCTCGTCTCAATCGGACTTTGCGAGACTCATGGGCAGCAGCACAACTCAACTCACTTTCTACATCGATGCATGCGAACTTTTAGGCGGTACAGATGCCATTTTACGATCGTGTCTCGAGTATCCCCCACCGCCAGCAAACGACCATGACTCTACATGTTACTACTGCCCGGAGAACGTCCCAGGTCGATCAAAGGCGGACGATGAGCGCTGGTCTAAGGAGTGTACCATCTCTCCTCTCATCCGAGAACCCGTTAAAGGCACTGTAGGCATGGAGCTCTGTAAGGCAGACGGCGGGTGTATGCTGGTAACAGACACGACTCGAGCTGCTTTTTATGCAGCAAGTACAGCGCTGTGGGGTGGATAAGGCTGCGTCTGGATGTGGCACATGCATCTTGCTTCAACGGGATGTGCTGTGGCTCTGCACTACAAGTTGTTGGCCATCCCGGCAACCCAAGTGGTCTACACTGGACTCTCCGTTGCTGCCAAGTACACCGCTGGCCAATTTGCAAGTCCGAAATTCAATATAGTGGCGATTTCAGCGCTTCTAGCGCAAGTTGTGGCGCTAGCAAAGACAGCAGAGATCGCTTTGTTTGTTGCAGCCGGCTGGGGGATCACGCAGAAATCCTTGGAGCGGAGCGACATCTTTCGTATTCGCTCTGTTTCGGTTGAGTGGGCTCTTGCTTTCGTTATCTTGAAGCAGCTACAAGTCAGCAACATCGGTATCGCGGTCATTTGGGGAATCTCTTGGGCCTCCATCATGTTCTTGCTCCACCACTACCCAGCAGCAAATCTAAAGATGTTACGGCTCAGATACAGAATTGGGGAGCAGCTCGGCATTGATACAACGTTGGTCATGTGGAAAGGGACACTATTCCTTAACTTTCGACGACTCCAAAAGGGATTTCTCTTCGTCGCCACCATCACTGCACTGACTGGATCTGACAATCGCTGGCGCGTCTGGGAGTGGATATCTGTACAAGGCCACGAGATCCTAATTTTTCTTCTGTACTCTGTACTGAGCTACATCTGCCGGTGTCAAGAATTCCGCTTTAGTGAACTGGAAAACTTGGAGATTGAGGTTGACTCAGAGAGCAATGGCACCACAGCCGCACAAGAAAATGGCTCCATCGACGCGGTTAGCGGCACGAATGTTATCTCTGTTGTTGTAGAACTACCTCGGAAGAAGACAACAGCATTAGTACTTAACCCCGACAGAAGCGTCTTGTTGGGAACAACCTTCGTGCTTAAAAAGTCTGATTCAGTTTTAAAGATGAACGAAATTCGTGTGACGTGCGAAGCTGATGCCAATCCAAGCACATCACCCAGTGCGCCATCGAACTGAGAAAAAGCATTTTGGCGTGATGCCATTCATTGGCTTCTTGATCGAAAGTTTTGTGAAACATTAGGCTTTTTACTGCAGCATCTTAATTTTTGATTAATACAAATCCAAATTCAAAACGGAACCACAGTATTTCGCTCAAACACGTTCATGTACAGAAATTGCTCTGGGACTTCATTAAAGTAGCCCCAAACATTGAGTTTTTTCGGGCTTACTTCACTACATTAAACGTTTTTGGATTTAAACTAATTACTTGAATTAAAACGAAATGCTTGGGAAATCAACACTCCCCAAGTTTTGACTGCGAACTAGACCAACAAATCGTACGTTGACACATGAAAACTTAACCGTGTAGTGTTGAGTTTCGCTGAATTACAAGTAGCCATGGACCTTCAATAGTGCGCTTCCTCGATTTTTCGGCGGAGCGCCTTAGGATATCCTGCACCGTAGCAAGCATTTATATATATAAAGCGCTTCGCTCTTGTAAACCTATGGGGGTCTTCAAAAAATATAGCAGATCCCAAATGTCGCTCGCACAAATCCTGTAGCGAATTACGGGGGTAGGTCGCACTAAATCGCTCGCATTTTGCAGAAACTGTTTTGGAAGTCCCTGCAAATTGCGTCATCACATAATCAAATGACGACGTCCAGCCAAATATAAATGGACAGCAGATCGCGCGCCGCGCCGAAATAGTTGTAGCTACATCACAGCAACAAACACTGCAATGGTCCGAGGAAGGGAGTGGACCACGCCTGAGACGCTGTACATGCTTAGGCTTGTAGAAGGCGTAGCTTAGGAGGGCGGCCGCGCTGACCGGGACGCCACTTAACCGTGTAGTTCTTGGAAAACTCGGTTAGAAGAACCTCGAACGAAGCAGGATTTACTGCCATCGGCGCGGTTCGAGCAGGCACGCTGGTGTGATTTTCTTTTAAAGATTTGAATCGTAAATATCGCCACAAATGCACTTGTTGGCTATTGCATTTCTGCACGCAAATGCCTATTAATTTTGTGCTTTGCGTCATTTTCTGAAGGTCCCCTATAGCTCTGTTGAAAATATGGAGCCTTCCTTGATTTTGTTTTGTAAATGGGGTTAATTTGTTTGGTTACCCTAACCCTGATCAGGCTTTAGTGTGAGCTGCAAATGTGACGGGAAGGAAGCTGCTTCCGAATTACTTGTTGTTGTATTCAATATTGGCCTGAAATAACTTCCGTGTCTTAAAACAACAAAGCATGCAGCTTTCGATTGCAAGACGAATCATAGCACACTTTCCATCATCCAAAAATTGTAAATCCTCAAAATTTTGAAGGTTGTTTTTTACGGAAAAAATACATTGAGTGCAAAAAAAGTATAACAAGTCCAAACATAGTAGTTTTTAGAAAAGTACTATGACAAGATCAAAATTACTATAAGATCAAAGTACGAAACAAGACCAAAAATACTGTGGCAAGACTAACAATACTTGCTACAGATAAGCGTCCTTAGATTTTACGACCCGTTTTTTTTTGTCAAGGCGAATGCATCTGGCTAGCGTATCAATTGTGAGAACGTTCACGATCGAACCTGCTGTGTTGTTCAGCAAGTGTTTTGTGTAGTAGGCTGCGTACGATGATAAAGTTGAATCGGCGGCATTGAGTGGACTTGGAGATCTCTATTGAACTGAGAAGTCTCATACGTCATCAGCAATAAGTTTGGCACCACTCAGGCGACTAGGTAAAGCACCACTTTTCTTTCTCTCCACCGTTGTCCATGTACTGACAGGCTTGAATAAGTGGCGAGCTGCGTCAGCATTTGAATACATTTTGTACATGTCTTTCCAGTCTTTCGTGGGTGGAAGAACTGGTACTTGCGTTACCCTCGCCTCCTTGGCCGCGACCTCCTGTGTCGTGTTCAGAGATTGTTGGTGTGCTGGTTGCATAATGGAGAGAAGCATATTTATTTTGTCTTCTAGAGCTTTGACTGAGTTTTCAACAGTTCTTAACCTCTTTTCCATCGTAAAGGATGGTTGTGGCGCTCACACCATCGTGTTACGCTTACGTCAGGAAAATGCGGTAGGACAGCCTACATGCGCATCACGATCAGGGGCTACGCAGTCCGCCAGCTGGGTGTCTTCGTCCGTAGCGGCTTGGTCAAGTAAATAACGCACTAGAGTCTCCGCCGACTCATTTTGTGTCCATCCGGCCCACCACTTCACCATCCGCAGTGACCACAGTCCTTCTGGTGGCGCAAACATAAATTTGTACTGCACACCAGCGCGACGGATAGTGTGAAAAGTAAAGCATATATCGCGCCATTGCTGTCGAATGTACCCACGCGTTGACACTCCATTACGATTTAGATCTCGTACAGCTGAGTTGAGCAAGGTAATGAATGCCTGCCCAGACATCTTCTTACCCCACTCTACTCGTGCGTTCTCACAGCCTGTAGATGTGTCGTCTGTCTTGATAACACTCTTCAATATCTTGGACAGTGCTGGGAAAATGTAATCGTTGCCATTCCACTCGTGATCCGTTTTCGTTCGTACATAGGCCAACCACGTTGTCTATCTCGAGAGTACGTCAGGTTGTGGATGTGTGTAGCAGCGACCTTATGCAACGTCTGTCTTCCGTCCTTCCAGCTTGTGGACGCCATAGGACACACTAGGGTCGGCAGTTCTCGGTCGCGTGAGGCTTTGGGGGAGATTCTTCCACCGGAGGCTCAGTACTTCATTTTTTCTGCACATGCCGTAAACAGTGAGCGTCACAGTAAAGAACCACAAACGACTCGCTACCGGGAATCCGGACGTGACGTCTAAGTGAGAGTGGAGTACTCGAAGCATATCCAACGTATTAGGGGTGGCTTGGCGCTGTGTAAGCTCAGTACACTTCGACAAAGAAGCGAAGGCAACTCATGATGCCGAATCGTTGCGGGATCTGAGTAATCATTTGAGATACAGAAGTCACATAACTTCTTGAAGTACGACGCGTAGACATCCCTTGTCTCCTTTTTAATTACATGTGTGGTGGTAGTAATTCCCCCTTGTAGCAAGTATGTCGCTTGCGGCGTCATTAGATTCAGGTTTCTGATACTTTCCCCACCAAATGGATTGTGAGTCGGAGTGATCCTCGTCCACCCAAAGGATTGTGAGGCCTATAGCCATTCGTTTTAATAAAGTACTTTTAGTCTTGTCGTAGTATTTTTAGTCTTGTCATAGTACTTACAGTCTTGTCGTAGTATTCACGGTATATTGTCTTGAGGTAGTCCCAATATTTTTTTTAGACATATCGCTCTCCAAAACACTTGTGCTCATCTGCCGGTATCATTTCATTCTTGTACGCACTCATTGCCTTGCATGTCTCCTGAATATGTGCCGCGCCCGACCCTGCACGCAGTTCTAACGGTACCCAACGGCGCTTGTCAGGGTGCAATAGCAGGCAGATTTTTTTAGCCATAGCTTTGACAATAAGTCTACGCTTTCCATCTATAGTATGATACGCCCGTCAATATAGAGTGTAAAAAATGCTGCTCAATAGACATACCTCCATAAAAATTAAGTCGAATAAGGCCACGTTACGACATAGCATCTCTAGTGGGTGCTTCCGTAGTCTTTTTGGCTCAAGTTTTTGAGGAAGTCGTTCTCCCTGCAGTTCGCATACCTTCTGTCGGAGCCCTGGTTTCGATAAATTAAATTGTAAATTGCATGATTCAACATTCACATTTTGTTAATATGTGGCACCTTCAAGTCGGTGTGTTTGGGATTGTAATTGTAACTTAAGCCCTGAGTGACTGATATAATGTAAATGCTATATTTGATTCTGATTGGCTAAAATATTTTTGCATGAGGTTGTTTTGGGGTTGCGTAAGTGAAAGAAGTTGGCTTCCGAGAGTATACAAACTATCAGTGAACAGTAGCTCACAGGTCTCTTTTGACTAAGGAAGCGAAGTGACCAAGTTAAGGTAAGCTGTAAACTAAATGTATTTATAGGTATGTTAAGCTTGAGTTAAATTTACAAACTATAAGCTACCTATAGTAAAGCTATGTCATCAGCCAATGATTGGCCTCTGACGACCCTGGTACCATGTACCAGATATCCTAAAGTGTGACGTGTCACACTTCACCAGGGGTACACTTGGGGTTGCATACCCCGTTACATCTTCCCCCCCCCTTAGGCTCGGTTTACCGACCTGAGGAAGTGTACGTCACAAACTCTCATTCTCAAAGTCGAAATTAATCGACTTGGCTGCGCGAACGCGCCGGAGGGTCATGTTACAGTTAGAGCCTCGACCAGCTATTGAGCGCTCTTCCCCTCGGTCTCCACATCGACCTTAAGCATGCCCTGTGGCTCTGCGAAGAGCGGTGCGAAAACACGCTCCAAGGCTGCTGCCAGAAAGGCGCAAGCCAAGAGCACTAAGCCTTGCGGCAAAGGCTCTGCACTCCAGGAGGCTACTAAGGTGGCCTCGGAGGCGACCGGCTCAGCTGGTGACGCGGCAGCGAGCAAACGTGCAAGCAAGCACCGCAGTCCGTCACCTTCGGTCTCTCCAGACAACCGGCCGAACCCGCGGCTCGCTGTATGTGAGTTCAATTTGGGCAGTGAGGACGAGGCCGAGTCCGGGATCACTCACGATGCTCCTGTGGGCTCCGTGGGAGGGCACACTCCAGTGCCCAGCAAGCGCGACGACGACAGCGTGCACTCACTTGCTATTGATCACGGTGATCACAGTCCCAGGACGTCTGTGCGCTCTGGGAGTCCTGCCATGAAGGCTAAGGGCTCTCCCAAAGCTGGAGACGAGGAGAAGGAGAAACCTCTTAAACATCTCTAGCTCACAGATGGCCTTGCGCGTGCTAAGGCCGCCAAAGCCGAAGCCTTCTAAGAGGCACACGGCGCCGAAGTATCCACTCCGCGAGAAGAAGGAGACTGGGTACTCCTATCGATACCACTTTGGTCCGCGGAAAGGAGGAGGGTGCTATCCATGAACCCCGGAAGATCACGAACGACCTCGACCAGCAGCAGAAAACTTCCAAGCTGCCCGGCGCATGCATGGGGCCCGGTGGTGGCGCCCATCAACCAGAGGCTGCCAGCAACTCAAGCGGTCATTGGCCTTCCGAGGAGAGATCTGGGCTGACCTCATTCTGGAGATACCCGTCGCTCCTCGTGGCCTTGTTGGTGGACACGTTCACGAACGTGCCCTGGTCCAGAAGGAGCAGCTGTTCGCCGACAACTTGGAGGCGCCCCGCTGCATCCCTTTGAAAGATTTCACGACTTGTCGTAAGAAGCCCGATAGCCGGGGTGGTCTCTACCCTCTCTGGGGTTTCCCCTCGGTTCTTCCCGAGAACTGTTCCAGCTGCAACTCGTGTGAGGATATGTTCTGGGCGTGGGTTGATATTCTCAAGTACTCACCCTCGGAGTTACGGGAGCTCCATGAAGATCAGCCCACATCGTGGACCAGCGTGATCTTCGTGTCCGGTTCGTCCACTTGGTCAGCAAGCGCATGCTGCCAAGCGACAGTCTGAAGCGCACGGCTTCTAGCGCATACGAGGAGCGCGGGTACGGAGTGTCGACAACGTCCGTACCCCGTTCGGGCAAAAGGCCCCAAACTACTTACGAAGCTGCCGCCACTTCTTTTCCCAGATTGCGACAGCCTTCGGGCAGTCTATCAGGAGCCCAATCACCTGGACAGGCTTCGCCTAGGCGACGGCATCCCAGGCTATTAAGATGAGACAAGCCCGCGCCGCAACGCTGAGCAAACCAAATGTGAGCGCGAAGGTCCTAACTAAACAGGTCCAAAAGGGTTGAGGGCGTGCAAGTGGACCAGCGGATGGGGTATCGTGTCCGGACCACGATAGGGATGGAGGCTAGTGGTGACTACCAGCGCTCCTGTCACAGATTGAGGTCGCTGTTGCAAGCGTTTAAGACGGCTTCCCTTATGCCCAGGTTGTGTACGAGAACTACTCACGCTTGAGCAGATAATATTATTGAATAAATCTCATAACACCAGTGATTTTGCATCTGCTTCCTACCTACTACGTATTACATCCGTGCCCTAAAGAGATTGTTAGTGTTAATCGGCATACATACATGTAGTGCCAGATCGCAAATGCAATCAGTCAGAGTACCAGGATCTGGCAAATGTGACCACGAATTGGCGACGACAAATCGAATAGCACCAGGATTTGGCAATTTCCCATTTGGTGACATCAAAGTTAAATGCAATGCCATCAAATGTCATGTCTACAACCTAAAAATGCTTAAATTGTGTCATTTCCCCCACGAAAATGGCGTGTGTGCTTATCATCATGGAACGCTATAGTCAGATCAGACTCCCCGCGGCAACAACCGGTGAAATACCGGCGAGAAACTGTGGTTCGAGATTGACGTCAGCGCTACTTCACAGTCGCACTTTACCACCCCCCAGAAGCTCTTGTTCACACCCTTGACCTTGATCCTATTAATGGTCAAGGCTACCACCTCGGGGCTGAAATTTTCTACAGCAACATCAAAACCTACGTTAAATAAGGAGATGATAAGGTCATTGTCATTCCTTTCATAGCAAAATCACTCTTTGGTAGCGCCTAGCAGAGACCAATTCTACGCTGTCCATGTTTCGATATTGATCTGACCTTCGAACTGACATGTTGCATCTGTTTATCTTTTTAATCGGATAGCGTCAATGCTGAACGTGCCCGCCAACCTTGTGCTTCTGGTCGTGAACAGGCAGTACAATCAGATTGGCAGCAGCAACGGGATGCTCTGCTCTGGATCTGCGTGTCCAGTCGATGCCTCTCCTAGAAGCTCCTGTGGAACGCTGACATTGGCTTCGTCTGATCGAAAACATCATTTTCTCGACCCGATGCCATGTGGAGCGCTGATCCCATCGATTAGCCAAAACGCCGGCAGTTCAAAGTACATTGCCGCCAATACTCCTAGAATAATCGCTCGCCATGACAGACGAGAGTACTGGGTCGTCCTCATTGAGTAAGCCTGTGCTCTGCAGCATCTGGCATTCTATGTGATCTAGGACAGCAATACGGCTCTGAAAAAGGTTGGTATTCGTGCTATGTTATTTATGCCGAACCGGTAGAAACCGGTTTGGAGCAGAGAAAAGACACAAAAAACACCATGAACCAGTGGCTTTTGGTTTGAGCCAATTGGCTCAAACCCTGGCTTTTCGGTAAAAACCCAGTACACGTAGGGAGATTCTAAGGAGCGCCCGTTGCGGAGCGCCCGTGCAAAACAAAAGTCAAAATGTACAGGACGTTTGAGACGCCTAAAACAAAACGATACTTACGAACCTAAGTACGAATCGCAAAAACGAAAGCGGGGCGTCTCCTCTATCTCTTGAGCCCTTATAAGCTACAGAATGCTTAAAACTGAATAAGTTGTGGTCGCTCAACAATATTATCTCCCCCTCGAAATGACGATATTTTAAAGCCCTTGCTAAAAGCAATTGAACAAGGGTAGTTTTACAGTTTTCTCGATGGAAGTTTACGCCAAATGTCACAATTCCAAAAATCAATTGGCCAACTTGAAGCTCGATTATCTCGATAACTCTAAATGGTTCGTAAGTATCATTTTTGTTTGACGCAGTCTCGTTTGTGCAAGAAATAAGCCATGTCCGTACAGTACCTGTATTAGTGAGTTTGCAGAACAGCTCGCACGAGAATGGTTCAGCAACAAGAGCTCTCCCGCAAGCGAACGATACATCTTCATTACGCGAGTTGAAAGTGCTGTGTGGTAATTTTGC